GATAATGCCAGACCACATTCTGCAGCAATCACAACATCATGGCTACGTAGGAGAAGGATCCGGGTACTGAAATGGCCAGCCTGCAGTCCAGATCTTTCACCTATAGAGAACATTTGGCGCATCATAAAGAGGAAGGTGCGACAAAGAAGGCCCAAGATGATTGAACAGTTAGAGGCCTGTATTAGACATGAATGGGAGAGCATTCCTATTTCTAAACTTGAGAAACTGGTCTCCTCTGTCCCCAGACGTCTGTTGCATGTTGGAAGAAGAAGGGGGGATGCCACACAGTGGGAAAAATGGACTTGTCCCAACTTTTTGGGGATTTGTTGACGCCATGAAATTTGGAAACAACAGATTTTTCCCTTAAAATGATACATTCTTCATTTTTATTGTAGTGATGTAGGGTCGGTTAGCTTCAGTTAGCTCCACTACAATCAATATTTAATGACGGGTTCTCTCTTTTTCGAGCTACTTGACAGATATGTGACAGAGATACTGTGTGGGAGATGGTCTAAAAACCAGTGGCATGAGACGTTAATTTTCTTTGACCCATCAAAATGAATGTGGTCATTTATTAACAGAATCAAAATTTAACATCAAACATTGTACACGTGATTATTCTGATTGAAGGCAATAACACAGCTTAATTAATGAGCTTTACAATGAGAAATCATACGGCCATGATTTCTCACTTGCAACTAAAATACAACAGACATTTCTGAAAATATCTGGATTAATTACTGGCAAGATAGGAGAGTTTTAAAGATGGGAAATGAAGGAGTTTAAATGGATAGGAAAAAGATGGATGAGGATGTATGTCTGTAGACCAGAACAACACGCTCCTTTGAAGCGCAGTTCGCCTGCAGTACGCTGGTAGTGAAGCTCATGACGACTCTTTACCTTTGGCGGAGGATGAATCCGCGGCGGTCAAGAGGTCCCTGGTACGCTACCTTTCAGCGTCTCCTCAGGGCGGCTGCGACTCGGCAGAAGTCGTGAGAACTAGTTCCACAGAACAAACCTCCTCAGAAGTATAAAGTTTTCACCGGGTGGAGTCACAGCGAGGCATCGTGGCTCCTACAGGAACTCCAGCTGCACTTCATCAGTATCAGAAGAACTTAACGGGACTCTGAGAAGACTCAGAGGAACTCAGAACTTCTGTTCTCTCCCAGAACTCCGGTTCATGTCTCAGAACTTTTCTGTTCGGTTCTGCTCTCAGAACTGACTGGAACTAGGAAGTGTCGACATTTAAAGAGTTCTGTTTCCGGTTCATTTGAGAAGTCCTGATTGGTTGAAAGAACCAACAGGGGTGTGGTTTTAGTGACGTAAGAGGGTTACTACAAGTCAGAAAAACAGTGGAGATGTTTAAGAACAGACAGAGAAATGTTTTGGCGAAGTGGGAGGAAACAGGTGCCACCAGTTTCTTATTTCTGTCTGATAGGTTTAAAAACATGACAATTCGTTCCAATAAACTTGTTTGCGACTGTCTCCGACTTTTGACCGACATCACTCCTTCTCATTTCAGAGAGAAGATCGAAAAATGCATAATTACTTTGTAACAGACATCTAACTTGATTTCTACTTTGAATGAGGATTAAAAATCATTAATACTGTTTCACAGTTGATTTAAAATGAGTAGTTCACTTCAACATTTAAAAATGATTTGAACTAAACACACTTTGATTATCAAGATATTGTAAAATAGTAATGATAATATAAAAAGAGAGTGTTCTTTCAATTGATTAGTGCAGGACACACTTAGAAAGTCTCTGGATGAGCTTAATTTGTATTTCTGGACTCAAATCAATGAAATAACAGTTTCTGTCCCATGAAGGTCCTCAGGGTCAGGTTTTGACCTGAGGCTTAGTTCACTACATTATTCATTATTATACAGCAGTAACAACAGTTTTGAGTGGTTCATGCTTCATGGCATGTGCTGTGGTGAGTTGTTGTAGGACACCAGGGAAACCTGCAGTGGACTTTTAGTGGTTTGAGTATTCTATTCATCAAGTGGAATGGATTTGTTCACAAAGAAATACAAACAGATGGATGAACTAATATTTCATGGTAAATATGTGTGTGTGTGTGTGTGTGTGTGTGTGTGTGTGGGGGGGGGGGGGTCCAAATGACTATTTTTGAAATGTGAGGGGACACGTCCCCTTCACAAATAATGAACATGATGCTTATGGTGGAAGCCATCTTGAATCAGACTGACTCCAGGGGTTAATCAGTTGTCGGCATACAAACGGACTTTCTGAGGGTTTCATTTATGGAATTCTTTTTTTACATGAACATATTGTGTGGCTGATCAAAGGTGAGGAATACCTGTAAATATTTTATTATATCAGTTGAAGTCTTTCAGGGAACAGCTTGAACATTTTTTGTAATGTGTGTGAGTGTGTTTCAATGTTCACATGGATTAAGTCTTACAAATATACAAACAATGGATAAACTGAAGTGTTTGTTTCACTCTAAAAAACAACTTCCTGTTTTTGAGAATTGGAGACATGTTTAGGTTTAGATGGAGAGCTTACCTAAGGTTCTAGTGATATTATCCTCCACCTACCTGTAGCAGAGCCCACAATTTCCCTTGAAGGTGACTCAGACATGGCATCTGCCAATCGCTCTCTCAGGCCTTCATCACTTGCGTCTGTGGATCCGACAATGTGCCGCGGCACACTGAAGCTCTCTGGCCAGCTGCCACACACCTCCAGCAGGGTCATACCACGTCCATCGAACGGCCCTGCAACAAAACAAGAACAGCACAAACATGCTGGGTTCAAATGCAAGACACAGGGACCACTGTATCTATTTAAAGTTATCTAGAGCGGGTCGGACACTTACACATATTTACATTGAAGTTATTGCTACGCCTTTGTTTTAAAATGTTTCACTGAACTACAGATCAATAACACCAAAAGTGAAAACTAATGACCTGATATGAGGAATCCCATTTATTATCAATAAGAAGTCTAACAACTTTTAACTTGAGGTAATCAGACCACAAATTGAACTACAAATGTTGTATCTGAAAGCCACTGTGAGCCGTGGGAGAGTGGAGTCCCGGTACTGTCCTGGTACTGTCCCGGGACCTCAGTCTGACTCTGGTGTGATAGTTCCACACAGCTGCCTTTGCTAGTAGCATGTACACAAGCAGCAGTTGACAGATGTTATAGAAAGTGTGTGTAGCTCCTGTGAACAAACAGGGTTTTACTGTATACGGACATAATTCAACGTACAAAATAAAACTCTGATAAGAACAAGTTAAATCAGTCACGTTTGACAAAATATTTATTTCTTAAAAGCATCTAGTTGATTCTTACTGAGTCTTATGAATAATTCATAAATCAAAGCAAAATCCATTATTGATTTTCCCAAAACAAAATTAGTCTATTACAGAAATCTTCAAACATTTTGAAGTGAGCCGTTGTATCAGCAGCTCATAAAGAAATTTACACCACAACACTGCAGTGTGACAGCTGCTTGGGATTGGCACATACAAACATCACTCCACTGTGCACACAAATATCACTCCTCTGTGCACACAAACATCACTCCTCTGTGCACACAAACATCACTCCTC